GCTGGGTCTGATTCCCCACCTTTGCCTCATTGCCCTGATCCTCTCTGTTGGGAGGGGAACTCCCATTTCCTGGTGCTGTGCCACGAAAACATGAGCTTGCCAAGTTATTCTCTGTATGTGTGTATGTGCGCGTGTGTTGAACAAGCCAGAAGTACCAGAAGTAAAAAGATCCATTAACAAACCACATTTTGCAACAGCCATAAGGATCCCCAGATTTCTCGTCTGTGGATTTCTCTTCTCCGTGCTTTAGATTTTCGAAAGGAAAAAGAAACCAACCAAAAAACCCCAAGAACTCAGCTTAGCCGTCTCTAATCCAATATGCACCTCAGTCTCCATGAAAGTGTTCTTGGGACGAGAGCAGTATTTCCCTTGGCTGGGATGCCCAGCCTCCTGGCTCCTCTGGAGCTGCAGAGCTGTAGACATTCCGCTGAGTAGTTTGCAACCCTGCTTGCCAGGAAAACCCAATGTCTCCATGGAGAAATCTCAGCGGAGGAGTTTGATACTCAATCAGGGATGGAAAAGAAGGGAGTTTATGCCTCCTTGAGACCAATCCCTCCTCTAAAAAACTTTAAAAAGCAGGAGGAAAAAAAAAGAAGAAAAAGAAAAGCGACTGTATTCTGACAAGCATGGCCCAGGCATCCCAGCAGTGTTGGTTTTGCTATGTGTCAGGACTGCCTCAAGTCACAAAGGCTTGGTCCAAATGTCTGTTTAGGTCAGTGGGAGTCTATCAACTTCGGATCAGACTTAAAGTTTGGATCTGGAGCTGAACTTCCAAAAGTCTGGGCACGTTTGCACCTTCTGGTGAGGGGAGCTTGGTTTGGCCCAGCCTTGAGATAGGAGCCAGCTGCAAACGCAGGCCTCCAAACATGTTCTAGGAAAGAGGTTATAAAAGAGCCCCTTCTTGCTCAACACATTTATTCCCTGTGGGCCAGATTCTGACATCTTCATTAACACTGAGCAGAACCTGCTCCAAGAGCAGTTACATTGATTTGAATGGGGCTATTCAGGGAGTCAGCATGGGTAGCACCATCTAAGGGTCACATCTGTTTGCTTCCTTGACACAAATTATTTTTTCTCCTTTCTGCTATTAGCACACACAGTTACAGCAAAAGCACATTGGGTTCCCTTCTTCTTGGCATCTCTTCAGCAAAACTCTGGTTGCAGACCCTTACTGGTAACGAGGTAAGAAGCAAAAAGAGCAGGAGCTCAGTTAACAGCCCTGACGGCTAGAAAAATCTTTCAGTGACAAAAGAAAGCAATGGTGAGAAATTCAGAGTTCCTTCCTGAGCCCTGTTCTAAACACCTTCTGTCTGTTTTCCCTCCCAGATCAAAAAATAGTGCCTCATGTGAAAGCAGAAGAAAGGCATTACGGCATAAGGCATTACTTCCTGCATCTTTTTGTAGCCGTGTCCTAGAAGTCATCCTCCTGTGAGCCATCATCACTGTTAGTCACTGAAATACTAACTATTCACTGTTCTGGATCAGTTTGACCAAGCTAAGGATCAGTTTGAGATAAAGGACTACTCCTGAGATTGCGGATAGGGGCAACAAGCTTTCTAACAGTGCCTGCGATGAGCAAGCTGTCATACTCAGGAACTGCCTATCTTGCCACAGTGACTTGTGGGAGATCTCTGAAAACGATCTGAAACTTTGCTATCTATCTATCTATCTATCTATCTATCTATCTATCTATCTATCTATCTATCTATCAGCAGAAAGGCAGCAGAGCGAATCTTAAATTTAGATAATTAGGAGCACCTGATTGACTTGGCTTGGAAGTCATAACGACATCACAACCACCCCTCCGCCACATAACTGCATTTGTCAGGTAGATTTTCTTTTCCTTGTCCTTTATCCAGGAAGACAATGATATTTGCACTGTGATGTTTATATTAACCATCAGAACTATTTGCACTACACTTCCTAACAAACAAGGCTGCTAAACCATAATAGCTGTGTCTGCAAGGACAGGCCAACCAATGTCAGTCCTCTTCCAGTTTTGAAGAACACCGACTGTGTAGCTCCCCCAGGACAGATGATTGCAGAATACATGCTCATGATTTTGTTAGTGCCAACAATGATCTGGTACATGACAGTTGCGTGCTGTGCTGCAGTAAGACCAAACAGTCCATTTTCTCCTACTGAAAGGGAAAAAAAAGTCTCCACATTTATGATATTGTTGGCTTCCCTCGCCACTTCCAGCAGTTAGCATGATTTTTTACCTCATTTTGCATAAGATTCCTTCTTTCCTCCCATTCTTTCTTGGATTCAGTTCCATACAGCATTTTCAGATATTACAAGCAGGTATCCAAGAGTCTGCTGCTTTTCCAGCAGGCATTTCAAGATTTTATGTGGGTAGCAAATTCTCTGTTTCCCTGGTCTCTCACAGCAGTGTAATGGGAGTAAATGATACAGACTGTTTCTTGTCAAGAAAGACCGAGAAGGTCTTTCTTTGGGTGAAGTTAGGATGAGGATAACCTCTGCTCTTCTCAGTTACTCTGAACGGATAGATGAGCAGAAAACAGTTGCCAGTCTGCGAAAATACAGGATCTGAAAGGGAACAGCTGATATCTAGAAAACTGCTGGCAGTAAAACTGGGATTATGTATCATTTATAGGGTGGGAGGAAGCATAGTGGCAGGACACAGACATTGGTGCAATTGTTTATCTACATTTGACATACAAAAATGATTTTTATATGAGCAAAATATCCTCAGGGGATAGTTCCTGCTTAAGACTTGAGATCCATCTCTACTTTAGAAGATGCAGAGGGAAGGGATTATGGTGTTAAGGCCTGGCTTGATGTTCCCAAAGCCCAAAGGCTCTGCAACTCAAGTTCCATGCGAGCTAGAGACTAATATATATAAACACAGGCGGTGCTGATGCACTTTTTTGGAGATGGAGAGCAGGTTAAGCTTATTGCAAGATACAGCTAATCATAGAATCCTTAGAGTTGGAAGGGATCTCTGAAGGCCATCTAGTCCAACTCCCACAAAATGCCATTGGTGCCTCAAGAAGAAAGGAGGGGTGTTGCACTATTTATGCATTACAAATGCAGGCATCAAAGCAGCGTAAACAAAGCAGCTTGCACAAAAACAGACAAAGGACGCTGCAGCATTTCCAATCTAGGTCTCTTGTGCCCCAAACTAGCATTTCAATCATCTTCCTTCTCTGAGAAATGAGTATCAGAGAACGAAGTGAGCCTCCGCATTTTTCTAGGCCAAGACAAAACTGTGTCCATTGTTGGGACTAGTCCCCCAGGAGGAGTTATTTCTATTCAATTTGTGTGTGTCACAGCCAGATAATGCACTGGGTGGTATTTCCCTCTCTTCCCCCAATCTCTCTCTTTTATGACCACATGACTTCACCCCCTCGTGTGAGTGACAGTACCCATTAGACGAGACTCTGATGCAAAACAGCTGTGTGCCGAGAAGGGGAGGAAGGGAGTGGGGAACAGCAATTTAGAAAACAATTAAGAACATCAATTCCAATTCATTTGCTTGGCCAGGATAAGTAATTTCTAAGAGGTAACTTGATCTGCAGTGGACCGAGATTAAAGGCGAACTCCATTATCTCTAGTTTACAGTCTGGAGGAATTTGTTTTAAACGGTTACCAAGGAAACTTCATTTAAAAAAAAAAAAAAAAAAAAGAAGGAAAGAAAGAAGGAAAGAAAAAAGAAGAAAAGAACCTTTGCCTAAAAATGTCTAAAAAATCCTTCTGATTTCTTCTTTTAAAGGGCACGCATGGATTTATTAACTCCCTGAGAGTGTGGTTGCGCTGTGTTGCAGGAGAAACAGTTCAGCTCTTGCAAACAGAATCCTTGCCCACAAGAGCTTAGAGATATATTTGATCAAAATAAATTATGCCAGTTTTAAATTACTGTTAAGATTTTCATGCAAAGATGGACTGGAAACATGAGACATAGGGCTCAGAAGTCAACCCAGAATTCTCCAGAGGAAGCAGAGGCTTCTGGAAGAAAACACAATGCATTGAGCACCAGGCAGTCCCCAGCTGTCTGCTGGCTTTGACACGGACTCACTGTCTGGCTGTGAAAGGCAATGCCCCTCACTGTGGTGCTAATGCTGCTGCCAACGAAGGGGTGTTGGCATACTCGGACACCTCTCAGAAGTGCTGTGAGACTCTGTGAGTAAATACCCCTGCAACACTTTGAATGCTGAGTGTAAACCCAGGAAATCCACAGCAACTTGCTGTAACCCAGCAGACACTGAGCTTTTCTCTCTATTCATGCTTGGGTGGGAGATGGCACCGAAAACCCAGTACGTGAGTGGTAAAGCCATGGATTTTCTACTGTCAAAGCCTCACACTCTAGGACTCTGCTCTTCTACCTTCCTCAGCTCTCAGTGCTTTGCTTTGCCACAACGCTGAGTCTCAGTCCTTTCCTCATCTCCTGCAGGCCTTGACCTCTTATCCTTGTTTTGCAAAATGTGATGTTGTCAAGAAGCTGAGATGCCTTGCAACTCCAGCTCATTAAAATGCTGCTCAGACCATTTGTCCCTCAGAAAACCCTGGCACCTGCCTTGGGCATTTCTCCCAGGATCCCAGAAACAGCAGCCCTTGTGCTTACAGGAACACAGAGGCCACGTGTGTCCCTGGATCTGATGTGAGGAGCTCAAGGGTGGGGTAAGAGCAGACATGGAAAAAAGGATCCGTGAGCTGGCTCAAAGTTCCAAGTTGGCCATGGATCTGCATTTCTCTGGCTGGACCCAGACTTCTACCTCTCCTGTGGATCTTTGTTTGTCTTAGGGACAATCTGCACTGCTGCCATCGTGAAACGGCCAGCCCATGCTTTATGCAGCTGCCTCCCTGTTGGCTAGCTAAGATTCTGGGGTGATGTAATTGCCTCTGGAAATAGGAGCTGGAGAATGTGATGTGACGAATTTCCCTGGACCACCAAATAAATTAAAAAGCAGGCTTTCAGCCCAGAGAGGTTACCCTCCCAAATAAACAAGACCCAGCCTCCTTTCCTTACACACACTTACCTTCTTCCACACCAGGAAGCTGAGCTCCTCGCAGACTCCATTACAGATCCAAAATGAACAGGTTCTTCCAGCCAGTCAGCATCTCCCATACAGTAATTGCTTTGGTATGGGCATCTGAGTACAAGACAGAACTGTATATACTAGAAATATTCTCTTTGCATAAACTTCTCAGTAGACTTACTTTTGTCTTGTTGCCAGGAAATGTACTTGGGGCCTCTCGCTAGCTTCACATTTCTTTGATTAGAGGGGCACAGTCAGTTTGTTCCGATAGTTACAGGGGAACTGAGAAACTGGAAAATCCTCTCTAAGCACAACAGTTCTGCAACTGCACATAAGACCACCCTATTTCACCACTTCTCCTGTGACGATCACATTTCCATGGATTGGAAAGGAAGGGGGAAAAAAGCCCATCTTGCACACATGCTTCTCCACAACAGCTTATGCCATGGTAGATAACCTTACAACCTGAGATCATTTAAGCAACACAACGCATGGCACTCCAGCATGGAAAAGGGGCCATGTCATAACCAAGGGCAACAAGTGGTTCTGGGAATCAGAAAACATCTAACATGGTTGGGTGGGTTGGACAGGAGTTTAAGAAAGCAACAATATAGTCAGCCAAACTGTAGTGTGGCCAGGAAAGGAGAGTTAACACCTTTTCTCTGCCAAAAAACACCTCTTGGCCAGTAATGACAACTAATGGCCAGGGCCTTGGCATCACAATCTGCCCAAAAAATTGAAAGGTGGAACATGCAGATTCTGTGCCCAGTTCTGGTCAGGACTGCTTTGTGGCATGGAGCAAAGCACTTAGCTTCTCTCAGCCCCAACTCATCTGTGTGCACAGCGCTCTGGGTTAGTTCTTGTCTCCCTCCTGAGGCTCAGTAACACTTTGTTAAATGCTTGTTTCTTCTAAGAGGCAAGGTGATCCAGAGAGTGCAAAGTACTTTATTTTTGTACTGTAAAAACCAGCTTCCTTCGAAGTCTCACTCATTAAGTCAACAGCCGTTGTAATCCAAGCTCCTTTGATGGAAGGAATAAGTGGGGAAATTGCCAAAGGCAGGATTAGCTGATGGATGTCTTGAGTTGCAAGGGTGTCTCATACGGATTTGTGGCTGGATTTTCACCTCAGCTGTCCTGGCTGGAATGTCTGTCCTACCGTACTGAGACACTCCTCTTGCAGACCCTGCTCTGCCTCTAGCAGTGGGGCCCTGGCTGAGGACTGGTTGCACTGTAATTCCCAGCTCCTCTGCTAACTAAGGAATGTGGTGTGCCAAAGAAAACCAAGATCCAGCCTGTGAAGAACGTACCTGTTGTACTTGCAGGGAAGTGACAGTTTGTCCAGAAACAGGACTGATACAGGTGTGCTTCCCGACTTGGCTTCTCAGTGATACAATGCTCTGGGCCACTGCTTCCCTTCTTCAGTAGGGGTTACCATATGCTTTTCTCTGAACAGCAAATCCTTTGTGACCTAGGAATAAAAGTACTGTAAACTGGTTTCTACATTTAGGTCTAATTGTGAGTAAAGGCATTTAGAAGGACACATCCTGCTGGACTGCGACAGGCAGCAAGTTTCTTGCTGTTCCCCATTCAAAAGGAGTGGCAGCACATTCTTTCTTTTTCCTCGTTTCTATTATATTATGCCTCCTTAGTCCTCATCTCTGTCCTGATCTCAGATTTCTGTTACTGTGATTCCACTGATGGAAGGTAACAGCAATTACATTTGTGTATTTGTGTGCGCTCAATATGGGACAGAGAAGAAGGACACAATCTGCAAAGCCAGACTACACCCACTTCTGTATCCTCTATTTATGTGAAAATTTTCATGTTGAAAAAAACAACTTTCTAACTTCTCACAATTCAGTTAAGTCTTAATGGGTGTTAACTACAAATACAAGATTATATTCTCCTAAAATGTCATTATCTGAAAGTCATTCTTGCAATGGGGACACTGAGGATGAAAATACTCTAGCCTGTCAGTTCTCCTGCCTTCTGTGCCAAACATCTCTCTCCTCTCCAGCTACCACCTTTGCAACTCACACATGCCTACCTTAAGGTCACAGTTTGTTTCTAGTTCCCGATGCTGGGTGCTATGCACAGCACTGTCTGCTTTTGTCTGATGAATGGCACAAAGCTGGAGTCAAGCAGGTACTCCACACTCTTTACACATTGCCAGGTGTCCTAGATTTTTTGTATCTCATAGGATAATTAACCCATCTGCAGGTGATTGTCTACTTGTCTGCCACAGGACCTAGTGGAGAGGGGTATGTGAGACAGCTCTTAATGTTTTTGTTAAGAGGTCCCTTTGGATTGCATTTAGTAGAAATGTGTTTGTTTTCCAGAAGAGAATCGGTTACAGAAACAACACCAAGCAAAAAGGCTTTTCTACAGCAGGGTTCTGTTTACCATGTTCATTCAGGGAAAGTTATATGGGAGGAGAGAGGAAGTAGTTAAATCCTTGTTTACCATGCTGGAAACCAAAACTCCCTCAGTTTACATAAATAAGGCAGAAAATGGCTTAGTTGTATGAGCACATGGCTGTGACTAAGGAGAGCTGGGTTCTGTTCTCCACTCTAATGTGCAAAACTCTCCAGGGCTCTCCTCCCCTCAGTGTGAGATTCAACTTGTTAATGTGAAGTGTATGCCAAATCACTAGTTAACAGAGACAGGATTTTCCAATGCCAGATTTGTCCATCAGCATCGGATAGACTGAAAAACCTAGCAAGAAGTACTGGCCTTGCTTCCCTGATTACTAGGCAGCTGTAAGAACCAGCTGGACTAAGCAGCTGAGGTAAAATGACATGAATGTAACCCTGCTTTCAGGGCTTTCTGTACACACAGTGAAGCTAACTAGTCCTTCCCTATCTGACCATGGGAGTTGAAAAGGATTCATGTACTAATTATTACAACATGCTCTGATGCCAAGATGCTGGAGGCCATACAATCCTGACTGTTAGCAGATCTGTGTACTCAAGAAGGCAACCAAGGAAATGAGTCCACTGATTCCTAAATCCTTATGGTTTGGTACATGTATCTTCCCCTTTATGCGGATGGTTCAGATCACCAGAATGATGTGCTCACACATCTTTAGTGAGACAGAATTTCTATTTTATGTAGAGAATGAAATCTGCTGGGGATGACAGGACAAAGCTGCCTCTGTTGAAGGAGTTCAGAAGAGATAATTAGTTACTAAACTCAGCTAAGTTTGCTCTGCCTGCTGAATCATAATTACTGCATGCTGTGAACTAAAGGTTGCATCAGATATCATTTTGGAGATCTGCAACAATAAAGAAGAACAGAAAGACAGGGAACGAATCCCACCTGAGCAGTGAAAAAACTTACCGGAGGCTGAGAAAGTTCTTACTTGCTCAGAGTCCCTCTGCCTTGGCATCCATTAAGGTAGGGAGGTTATATAGCATAATCCCAGAGTAGGGGGCAAGTCTGACAGCACCCAAAGAGAAGCCCTTTCAGTGGCCTATGTTTTGCCTTTGGTAACTGGTCAGAGTTGCCTCTCTCACCAAATCAAGGCAGCCCCAAAATGGTTCCTCTGGGAGCATTAATGTTTTACTGAATCACTTATTTTCTCTTGATGACTGCTGCTTCAGACTCTCTGCGGCTGGATCCCAGTGGGGATTTTGTTGATGGGGGTTTATTGACTTCTTGTTACCTTGAAGTTACTGCAGTGGCAAGAATCACAGGTAACTCCTGGAGTCTGTTTATTTTATGGGTTGTGTTTTTAAGAGTTTGCAATGGCACCCTAGTTTTAGGAGAAGCCACTTGTTTATTTAGCAATGCACACATGCACTGATCCATAAATAAAACCGGTGAGCTACCTAGAATCTTCACTTCGGTCCTCAGTAGAGATTTTTGAGATTTATATTGCTGGGGCTACAGAAAGGACAGACTTGTACTGACAACTGGTGTCACAGTGGACTCATAGAACTGCGCTTGAGCTGGAATTCATCTAACTTCATTTAAACATCTGAGATTGACTTAGAAGAAGATTGAAGTTGGATATCAGGGGGAAGTTCTTTACCACGAGAGTGATGAGGTACTGGAACAGCTGCCCAGGGAGGTTGTGGATGCCCCATCCCTGGAGGTGTTTGAGGCCAGATTGGATGCGGCCTGGGTCTAGTATGAAATGGGGAGGCTGGTGGCCCTGCATGTGGCAGGGGGGTTGGAGATTCATGATCCTTGAGGTCCCTTCCAACCCGTGCCATTCTGTAATTCTGTGATTTGTCAGAACGTAAGGAGCCTGTAGGCTCCTAGTAAAGTTCAGTACATTTCTGGTAGAGCTGATCTCTCTTCAGTGACTGTAATAGGAAGTTTTGACAATTACCTTAAAACGTCTCTTAGAGGTCGGAAGCCTCTCGCCCTTGTTGTGCCTGTGATTACTTGCAGCCATGGAGAAGGGAGCCCCATGGTCATTAGGTTATTTTAGCTGGTCCTATGTACCACATCACAAATCCTCATGACTGAGAAGCATAAGATACAAGCACTGTACTTCAAAGTGACTAGGGTAGCCCTGTGTGGAAGCAAGACATGCTAGGTGTCCCTCAGGAGATCCTGTCACAGAGCGTTGGGATAGAACCAAGTTCAGCAAATAGCATCCAATGCTGATCTGGAAATGTTCTTGGCAAACCCTGCTGGACTATTTATTTGTGTTGTGGAAGATCCAGATTACACAACAGTCATCATTCTTCTGCAGCTGATGATCCATTAAAAGCTGACAAGCCACATATATTTCAAGGACCACAGGTCACCTCAGCAAATACAAGCTGTCTGCTCAACATGTATGCAGCACATCTGCAAAACTGTTAACCATGTGTGTACACACACGTACCTATCTTCCTACATCCGCTTCTAAGCACTTGAGGGCTTTCAAATCTGGTCTTCCAGATAATTCTGTAAGCTTAGCCTTGAGTGAAGCTTAGGTTCTTAGAAGCCAGATCTTCAGAGATCTATAGGAATCCACTGACCAGCAAGCGTCCATTAAGTGCACTTGTAAGATTTATTCAAACATCTCTAAAAACCTTAGTCTTAGGAGCTTGAGAATACCAGACTGGGTTAAAAAGCCTGCAAATTCAACAGTTCTTGAAAGGAGAAACATGGAAGAGAGATGCTCCACCAATTTTGTGTCTTTATTTTTGCTGCAGGTGTACACTGCTTTGTTGTGTACTGATGCTTCAAGACAGTCAGAAGCTGTATATGTTCATGAGCACAATGTTCAGCCCAAGTCCTCTCTCTGCAGGACATACCAGCTTGGCCTAGTAAGCAGGCTAACCGCAGCCACACTGTTTCAATCCGCTCTGAGCACAAACAGAGTAAGTTTATGTCTGCCTGCAAAACACTCCATAGTTCCTGTAGAAGCCTAATTCATGGAGGTGTTAATCACTCACAGCTCCCACTTATAGAGAACTGTAATGCAGCCCAGATCACTCTTCTGTGCCTCAGTTTCCTCATCCAAGTGCAGTTTCCTCATCCATGCATCAAGGTCTAGGGATGTACAGTGTCATTCAAATACTGTTATTGTTTATGGTAATGATGAGAATGCAAACTTTGTTTGTATAAAGGTCTGGGAGTGCCTACGTGACATCAACTGAAAAAGATGGGTATTAACTTCCATCCTTGACATACAGCACGCTGTGATTGCTCTCAGATGAACAGAATTACCTCCTCTTAAAATCAAAGGTAACTCATTTTATTTCGGTGAGGTGTGGTGATGTCCATGGAGAACAAATCACTTTTGGCAAGTGCAGGAGGAATGTCTTGGCAAGTTAGAAGAAGCATCAAAACTGAAGAAGAATGGGATGCAAGACAACTGAATTTAATCAGATGTAGCAGTCAGGTTCCTCTGGACAGGCCTACTGTCTGATGCACCATCCTAAATCTCTGGGGATCTGGATTAACAGAATGGAAGACAAACAAGAGGATGGTATAAAGGCACTCAGGGCACTTTAAGGTGTAACTGATAAATCTCTTATCGGTTGGCACTGTGTCAACTGATTATGGTAGTATGATAATATTCCTCACATTAATGTTGTGCCTCAGTGCCACGACTGATTTTTAATGTGTGTTTCAGTATCCGTGCCCATGTTCTTTGCTGGTTTCAACAGTCACAGCTCCTCAGGTCACACTGCACTTCTGCTTGCCATTAGTAAAGAGGTGACTAAATCAGTTATAAGGATGCACTTTCACTCCTACAGCCATTGAGGAGAGAGGATACTCTCTTACTTCAGCCAGTTCACTTTGAGCTGGTCTGAATTGCTCTGAAGATGCCTGTTTTTTTATTTTGCTGCCCATCAAAGAGCCCAAGGTGGCTATTCCCTAGGCCAGGCACAGGGAAGATGCCTGAACCAATGCAATACATCTGAAAAGAAACAGCTCGGGCAAATACTTCTTGACAGGACAGTTCTTGAAATTACTTTCCTCTGGAAACAACTGGCTTGTTTCACTAAATTTGGGGCCAGGAAATGTATGGAATTTATTATTTTGTAGGAAACTAATGTTTCACTTCATCTATTACAACACTATA